CTAGTACTACTAGTACTACTAGTACTACTAGTACTACTAGTACTACTAGTACTACTACTACTACTACTACTACTAGTACTACTACTAGTCCTACTAGTACTACTAGTACTACTAGTACTACTAGTAGTAGTAGTAGTACTACTACTACTACTACTACTACTACTACTACTACTACTACTAGGAGTGCGAATACTAGTACTACGGTTGAAGATATAATCCTGCATTACCCACAAAAAGGAACACACCATAGCCGCTGCTGCTGCTGCTGCTGCTACTACTCCTACTGACTACGCCGACAACCCCTACAACTCCTACTACTCCTACTCCTTCCCCCACCCCTACCGCTACTCCTATTCCTCCTCCTGCTGCTTCTTCTGCTACCGCTGCTGTCACAGCTACTGCTGCCACTGCTGCTATTGCCACTACTGGCATGTACCGATTATTGATTTTGATTGCGCTGGTACAAATGCTTGTTCTGAAACCACGTCCTTGGAATACCCAAACCTACCAACAGTAGCAGGGTGCCGGAGACATGGCAACGAGCTGCCGCAGCAAGCCTCGCGGACTTCGGCAAGATGCTCCGTGCAATCCATGCGAAGTATCGTCATTGTTTAGTTTGGACCTAGAGGACTGCGATTTAGAAGTCAGGCTCGTCGGCCTGAGGTCTGTTTCACGGGATGGCTGTCGAGCTCAACAAGATGCATAGAGTCATCAATCCGCAGCTTCGTGATGACTCCTGACTTTCACCTATGTGCGGCTCACAGCACTTCCGTCTAGGAAGTTGAGATTTATATGGAAGCTTCAGATGTACGGTTTCAGGGCTTTGGGAGTCCGGTGTCGATGGAGATTTTCATATAGAGCTCGGAGATTCAGGGTGCAAATTTGTTCTCGAGAACAAAGTCACCGAGGACTTAGCTTCAAGACTTTGGAGGCCTATCTATCCCTGAAAACCGTACGAGGAGGGGTGGTGTCAAGCGCAGCACTTATCTTGGAATCCTGACTCAAACTTGCACTCCTGATCTCCGAGCATCCCTCTGTGGGCTCAGAACAGGTCGGTCGGCTACTGAGATTTGCGAGGCTTGCAATCGAAGCCAACGGAGACCAGACAAAAGGCTTCCGAAAGCAACTGCAACAGCAGTGCTTGGGGCTTAGGGCTGCTATCTGCTTGGGTCTCTCAGCAACAACATCTTGTGCACCTTGCAGAAGAGCATCGCGCGAGGCCGGCGGGTCTAGGTCCCACCAGCCTGGATTGCTGGTGGCATGGAGGCTTGAGAGGTGTTTCGGGTTGTTTTTTTTACCCGTCTGATCACTCTTGTCATTAATTTGGCCATTAACTCGCAGTATTCCAACATGAGAACCTAACGTAGCATCAATGGTAGAGAGAAGGATCATGATAGCAATAGAAATTAGCAATGCGGGCGTAATAGGAACAATAATGGTCGTCATCGTAGTATGAAGTTGTACTCGTAGTTACAGTTGTTGTTGCAGTAGCCATCGTCGTGGTGGTGGTGGCGGTGGTAGTGGTAGCGGTAGTCGTAGCCGTAGCCGTAGCCGTAGTGTAGTGGTAGTGGTAGTCGTAGTAGTAGTAGTAGTAGTAGTAGTAGAAGAAGAAGTAGTAATAGTCGTAGTAGTAGTAGTAGTCGTCGTCGACGTCGTCGTCGTAGTAG